TGTTGCGGCCTCTCCCGCTGCGGAGCACAGACTCCGGACGCGCAGGCCCAGCGGCCATGGCCTATGGGCCCAGCCGCTCCGTGGCATGTGGGACCCTCCCGGACCGGGGCACGAACCCGCGTCCCCTGCATTGGCAGGTGGACTCTCAACCACTGTGCCACCAGGGAAGCCCCTACTTCTGTTTTAATTGTAGTCAATTCTGATATTACCTTTATTAATATTTAGATACTCCGAAGCCAGATCTTCGATTCAAGGAACCAAGCTCAAAGTCAGATGCCTCAGATTACCCGCTGTGGGAACTACTACAGGATGTCTCTGCCACTCGTCCTGCGCCAAGCTCTGCAGCTCGCCGGCTAGAGCATCTAACCTCAAAGCTTCAGAGAATTGATGAACAGCTGTTAGCAATACAGAACATTGCTGAAAACATAGAGCAGAATTACCCAAGACATATCATGCTAGACCGACATTGTATTAAGGTAGGCTGTCTTTATTTTAGTTTTTTGTTTGTTACCTACGTATTAAATTTGTAGTGTGATATAATTTTAGACTCTTGATTTTTCAAAATAATGGGAAATTTGGTTTCTTTAGGCTACGGTTTCTCAACCTCAGCATTGTTGACATTTGGGCCAGATACTTCTTTGTTGTGGGAGTTTGTCCCATACATTGTAAGATAATCAGTAGCATCCCTGGTCTTGACCCACTAGCTGTCAGTAGCATTCCCCTCAGCTATAATAATCAGAAATGTCTCCAGGCATTGCCAAATGTCCCCTGGGGGACAAAATCACTCCCAGTTGAGAACCACTTAAACGTTAAGCTTTTAAGAAGTGAACTCTTGGGCTTCCCTGGTGGCGCAGTGGTTGAGAGTCCACCTGCCAATGCAGGGGACACGGGTTCGTGCCCCGGTCTGGGAAGATCCCACATGCCGTGGAGCGGCTGGGCCCGTGAGCCATGGCCACTGAGCCTGCGCGTCCGGAGCCTGTGCTCCACAAAAAAAAAAAACAAAAAAAAAAAACAAAAAAAAAGAAGTGAACTCTTGCTTCCTACCAGGAAAATAAATATATGAATTACAAAACCAGAATGTGGTTTTAGATAAACCCTGCTCATAATTGAGTATCATTTTCTTCGGCAAGATTTTTATAATTTTACGAACATTGTTGTCCTTATATTTTGAATTCTGTTTCTTTCAGATATTTTATACAATGGGATTACTAGTGCTTAGAAGTTTTCTGTATCTTTAAAAAGTATTCAGAATAAAGAGATTAATGTTTATGTATATTGGTATATCATGGTAGTTAGACCAATAGAAAGGAAGCCTCAAACGTTAATTACTTAATTTGTACAAGCATCCTGTCTTTTCTTTTAGGAAATAAAATTTATATAAAATAAAGTTTAATGAACAAATGGTAAAAATATTGTGAATGTGTTAAAGCCTTATACTGAGAAATGCAAATTGGTTTTCAGGAAAAGAATTCCATGAGTGACATGTCTAACAAATATTCCAGGTTGCTAAGATGTTGATATTTTCAAAGATAAATTTATTAGGTTTATAACATTTCTTTAATCCAAACATTTAACAATTATTAAAAGGTTAAGGTTAAACATATGTGAAACTACACTGAAAAAAATATATGAAGTAGGACTACTGGTTTTTTTAAAAAAATTTTATTGGAGTGTAGTTGATTTGCAATGTTGTGTTAGTTTCAGGACTACTGTTAAGTAATGACATTATGGTGTTTTGTTGGTTGTTTTCCTTTTTGTTTTTAATCCAGGTTTAGATCTGTTACATCCAAATTAATGTTGAGTGTCAGAGTTGTCCTTGGAAGTCCATATTCCAAGGAATCACTTTCAAAATCCCTTATCTTCTAGTTTATTAAGCGTATCTAAAGCCAGATATGTTACTTACACCTGAATCTAGTCTTGTTCCTGGCTTGTTCACTCTCTCCAGAGCCCCATGAATCATTCGTTCCTTTAACAAACATTTATCGACCTTCTACCACATACTAGGCCCTGTGCTAAGTTCTGGGAATAGGAAAGTAAATAAGGCATAGTCCCTACTCTCAAGGAGCTTAGAATCTAATAAAAGAAGATAGATGTATGCACCAAAAATACATGTGAACAGGGTGCTGTAAGGACACACAGGTACATATGGCTTGTTGTGACTGTATAGGTAAGTGAAGCTATGGCACCAGAGAAGCCTTTGTAGAGGTGATTCTTGAACTGGTAATGAACTGATATTCATCAATTCGATGAGCAAGGGCTGATGAAAACATCGTGAGCAAAAGCAGAATGGCATAGAGTATTTGGGGAACTGTATCATTGTTAGCGGAAGGTAGCAGTTGATGGGACTGGGCTTTAAGATGCCTGGCAGGAGAGGTAGGTAGGGCAGATAGGGAAGGATGGAAAGTGTTGTTTGCCGTGCCAAGAGAGTAGGATTTTATTCTATAAGTGGGCAATAGGGAACCACTGAGGAATTTTAAGCACTGAAATGATATGATCAGACACTCTGGCAGCCATGTGATGAATAGAATGGAGAGGAAAAGACTAGGAATAGGGAGATTGGTTGGGTCACAGTAGTTCTAGGCTAGCTGTTTGTTAGAATCAAATTGGGAACTGTCAGAAGTGCAAACTCATGGGCCCCTTCTGATTTTAGGTAGGTCTGGGTTAGAGCCCAGGAATCTGTATTATTAACAAGTTTCATAAATGATTCTTAATCAGTTAGCTCTATATCAGGTCTATTGATTGGTGTTTGGGATCTGATGAATAGTACCAAGCCAAGAAATAATAATAACCTGAACTTTGGCACTGGGGATGGAGGGAGGATGTAGCAGGATTCAGAGGTTGAGTGGCTGTGGGAAGGTGAAGAATAATGCAGAGATTCACAGTAGAGTCCAGAGTTCCAGCCTGGGTGAATGTTGGAGTCATTTTCTAAACTAGGGTAGAGGAAGTGTATGTCTTTTGGGAGGAGTAAGACAGAGATTTCAGTGAGGGCCACGTGAAATTTGAGGTGCTGTGAGATTAGTAGGCATTTGGATCTCTATTGATACTTCTGGAGCTCAGGAGCTAGATCCGGGGTGATGGTACAGATTTTAGAGTCATCAGTTAGGAGAAAGTTCAAATTATAATAGTGAGGGCACTCACCCAGAGAGAGCATATTGAGTAAGGAAAAAGTGGGTTAAGATCAGAGTTCTGTGGGTGCACTAACTTTTAAGGATGGGGATTCAACAACAAAGCTTAAGAAGGAATAATCTGAGGGAGGGAAGAGGCTCAGGAGAAAGCAAGCCAGAGGAGGAATTTCAAGAAGAATTTCCACAGACCTGGGTCATTAGATAAAAGGACAGCTGTGCATGTCAAGATCACTTGGGATGCTTTTTCAAAATATACATGCCAGCCCTATTGAAAGGGGTGGGGCGGAGAGAGAGGAAGGGGAGTGACTTTGCAAGGAGGAGGGCATAGGTCACACAGTCGTATTTTTTGAAAGTTCCCGCAAATTCTGATACAGGTCCCCTCTCAGCCCAAGCCTTTCCAAACTGGAAGGTAGGAATTATGTCTTTTGCTTGGTGCATGGCAGGCAATTGATAACTTTATTTAATGCCTGTCTATGTGCTTTCATTTTTAGATTCTGACAGAAATAAAATCATGTTCATATAATAAAGACTTACTAATGGGACAGTTATTAGTAATTGTAGCACAAGCTTGGGAGACGATTTCAAAAGAAGAGTTCTAAAAAATGGTTGATCAAACTCTATTCTTCGGAGGTGACTACTTTGAAGGAAATAGAATTGATTTAAATGAAAGGTTTGGCATATTGGCTTAAAATGTTCTCACCCTATTATAATGCATACATAAATACAAAGATCTTTACTTGCCCATTTTAGTTTAAGAAAACAGCTTGTAGGTCTGGAAGAGACTGAGGGACACCGTGGACACCCCGACTACATGCCTTAAAGATACGGGTTCAAGTCTATGTTCTAGATTTGCAAGTCACTGAATTTCTCTGGGCCTTATTCCCTCATCTTTAAAATGAAAGGTTTTGTTTTCTTCAGATAAATACCCAAAAGTGGAATTGCTGGATTGTATGGTAGATCTGTTTGTTTTTTTTTTTTTGAAGAACCTCCATACTGTTTTCCATAGTGGCTGTACTAATTTACATTCCCACCAGCAGTGCACAAGGGCAAGGGTTCCCTTTTCTCCACATCCTTGTCAATACTTGTCTCTTTGATAATAGCCATTCTGTCTGGCATGAGGTGATATCTCATTGTGGTTTTGATTTGCATTTCCTTGATGATTAGTGTTGTTGAGCATCTTTTCATGTGCCTGTTGGCCATCTGTATGTTGTCTTTGGAAAAATGTCTGTTCATGTCCTCTGCCCATTTTTAAATTGGATTGTTTGTTTTTCTGATATTGAGTTGTATGAGTTCTTTAAATATTTTAGATATTAATCCCTTATTGGAGATAGTATTTGAAAATATTTTCTCCCAGTCTGTAGGTTGCCTTTCTGTTTTGTTGTTGGTTTCCTTCGCTGTGCAAAAGCTTTTTAGTTTGATGTAGTCTCTGTATATTTTTGCTTTCTTGCACTTGCCTGGGGAGACAGATCCAAAAAATATATCGCTAAGACCAATGTCAAACAGCATACTGCCTGTTTTCTTCTAGGAGTTTTATGGTTTCTGGTCTTAATCCAGTTTGAGTTTATTTTTGTGTATGGTGTAAGAAAATGGTCTATGAAAATGGTTTCATTCTTTTAAATGTAGCTCTCCAGTTTTCCCAACATCATTTGTTGACGAGACTGTCTAAAACACAAAACAAATAAACATATAGAACAGAAACAGACTCATAGATACAGAGAACAAACCAGTGGTTGCCAGAGGGGAGGTGGATGGTAGATGGGCCGAATAGGAAGGGGATTAAGAGGTACAAACTACCATTTATTAAAAAAAAAATAAGTCATGGTGATGTAATGTACAGCACAGGGAAAATAGTCAATAATATTGTATAACTTTGTATGGTGTGTAGTGTATAAAAATATTGAATTACTGTGTTATACACCTGAAACTAATATAACATTGTAAGTCAACTATACTTCAATAAAAAATAAATAAATAAAATAAAGGTGAACTATGTAAAAAAAAGAAAAGTTTTGTCTAGATGGTAGTTATCATTCCTCCCCATTGTAAAATTTATAATACAATTTTCCTGAACCTCTTAAAAGGTTAAATCGGTTAAGATACAAAATAAGTAAAAATTTACTCCTGTTCATCAGTTCTCACCATTTAGCTCATATTGGATTTAATCCTATTCTTTCATTTGTTGCATTAATACAAATGTGTAAAACCTACATAAAATCGTTTATGATGTTTTGAAATTATCAAACCATAAAATTTGTAGCAGTTATTTTGTTGTGCATGTTTTTCTACAGGTTGAACCTGTAGATCACATTGAGCTGTCTTCTGGCCCCGAATCTGAAAAAACACTGCCTTCAAAAACCATTCACATTCCTGAAGAAGGTTTGTGAGGGGTCGGGGGTGGGACTGAAGCCTTTCTTTGGAAGAATAAGTATTTCTTTTTGGTGTGCCAGAACTGGGAATAGTTTTCTTATGGGAGCTGAAGCCATCCGTCCCCTCATTTTTATTTATTTTTTATTTTTTTGCGGTACGCGGGCCTCTCACTGTTGTGGCCTTTCCCGTTGCGGAGCACAGGCTCTGGACGCGCAGGCTCAGCAGCCATGGCTCACGGGCCCAGCCGCTCCGCGGCATGTGGGATCTTCCCAGACCGGGGCATGAACCCGTGTCTCCTGCATCGGCAGGCGGACTCTCAACCACTGCGCCACCAGGGAAGCCCCGTCCCCTCATTTTTAGATGAGGGCTTCCACCTCAGGCCAGTGATTTTTCCGAGAAGCCTGACACTGTACCCTCCCCTGGCGTTTGTACCAGAGGTGAACACTGTGGGCTGGACCTTAGTTTCTGTCACTCCACATCCGCGGCCACACACTGCTGAGGGTCACACAGAGCTTTGTACTGAGGTGCTTGTTTGTCTTTGGTTATCAGCTGAGCTAGAATTTGAGGTTCAGGTTAAATGACGCAGCAATGGTGAAGTATTAAGTTTTTTCATTTCGTATTGAATGAATGGAATTAGGGTAGTTATTTAAATAAACTTCTACTGTAACTATAGTTTATATCTACATTCTCTCATTGAGTCTTGTCAGCAGTTTAATGCATTTTGCCAAAAAACAGGTTTTAGTTCATTGATTCTCTCTATTGTTTCTTAATTTTCTTTTTCATAAATTTCTACTCCTAGCTTTATTATTTTTTCTGCTTTTGGGGTCTTACCTTGTTGGATTTTTCCTAACTTCATTCTTTCTTTTTTTATTTTTTCTAATAAATGCATTTGAGGCTGAACATGTTTCTGAAAGGACTCAGATAAGAGTGTTGATATGTTACATCTTTTGGTGGTGTTCAGATTGAAATAGCAGTTTATATTAAGGTTTCTTCTTTAGCTCATAAAAGGAGTTTTTAGCTTCCAAATATTATGGGGCTTTGGCTATATTTTTGTAATTTATTTCCATTTTCATTGTATTGTGATTAGATGAGTGTATAATAATGTCATTCTTAGATATTTGTTAACATTTCTCTCAGTATATACAGTCAGTTTTTGTAAATATTCTATGTTTATTTGAAAAGAATACGTGTTTTATGTTGGTTTATATATATACACACACACATCTCCTACATAAAATCCTACATAAAATTTCACATGTGGGGACTTCCCTGATGGTCCAGTTGTTAAGATTCTACACTCCCAATTCAGGGGGCCCGGGTTCAATCCCTGGTCAGGGAACTAGATCCCGCATGCTGCAACTAAGAGCGCACATGCTGCAACTAAAGATCCTACATGTCGCAACTAAAGATCCTGCATGCCTCAACAAAGATCCTGCACGCGGCAACAAAGATCCCACATGCCGCAACTAAGACCCGGCACAGCCAAACAAACAAATAAATAAATAAATTTATATATGTAGTCACACACACATATATAATAGTCAGACTTCTAAATTACACTGTTCAGAAGGGTGCATTAAAAGTTACCCACAGTGATTGTGGAATTATTTATTTCTCTTTATAATTCTGTTAAATGTTTCTTTATGTAGTTGAGGCTATGCTATAAAATAAATTAGTTCATGATGATTATTTTTGTTGAATTTTGTACCTTTTATCATTAATGACTCTCTTTATTCACAGTAATGCTTTTTAGACTCAAAAGTCAATTTTGTCTAATATTAATATGTCCATTCCTGC